AGTCCCAATGCACCATGAGGGTAAGACATCGGGTTTTGAGTGCCGATACTCCATGATGATAAGAGTTGGGTTCGAGTCCCAACTCATTTTGGCCTAACATGCCTTTATATGGGTAAGGCATTGGGTTTGAGTCCCAATACACCATATTGATGATATAATGATGACTAAAGAAAAATAGTATATTTTTAATGAAATGTCCCACTTGATTTGCTCTATTCTTGAAGTGAATGTGATAGCGGTGCATAAAAAGTCTAAATGAAGACAAGTTGTTGTTCAATGAAAGTGGGTGTGCCAAAGACCAAAACAATAATAGTCAGCATTATGGTAATTGTAAAAAGGAGAACAATAAGGTTTCTCAAAATAGTCCTTCAAAAGGTGAAGGAAATATTTACCATCAAATTGGTATGGAAAATTTATAAAGCACGTTACGATAATTATACTCCATTCTGTGAAGAGAATGTGACTTGTGATAAGCATTGAGAATGCATATTCATTCCTGAAGGTGAATGTAACAATATGTAATAAAAGTAATGAATAAAGACGTGCAATGCATGATTAGATACACACCACAACTCACCTCTAAGGGAGGTTTGAGAGAAAGAAAGATAATGAATATTACAATATGGTTACATGAATATGTCATTGGTCGCGTACATGTGGTACGCCAAAAATATTTTGACATGCCTTATAAAAGGTTATTAAAGGCAAAATTAAAGCAAGAAATGATTTTGTTTATGATGATTTTGACCATGACAATTGTTATGATATGATTTTCTCCGTGAAGGAGACATTCACCATATGGATGGTGTGACAAAAGATCTTGTAGTACAAAATCAATTAAGAGCTTCGGAAGAGCTAATTTGTTACTACCCGGATGAATAAAATTATTCATGATATTGATATTGTAGTAAGTCTCAAAAGAAACTTTTTGAATTTCAAATGTATTAGCCAAAATGGTTGGCATATTGAGACTATAAATGAAAGGAAGATTGAATATCTTCATATTACTATAATCATATCGGGTAAATATGAAAGGTTACCCGATTTTTTTTCTATTTGTATTAACATGTATAAGCATGATGATGGAATCACATGCCACAAGTAAACTAGATGTTTACTGAAACAAAGATTAGTTGGCATGACCGGTTGGCTATCCCGGTTCAATTATGATGCGAAAATTACTTGAGAATTCACATTAGCATATATTGAAGAAATAGAGATTCTTCAAAAAATTCTCTTGTGCTGCTTATTCTCATGATATACCAGTTAAGGTTGGATTGAATCCCTTGATATCTTGAACGAATAAAAGGTGATATATATGTATGGGCCCCATCACCTGCCATGCGGACCGTTTACTACTACATGATTTTAATAGATGCATCTATCTGCGGTCACATGTGCGTTTGTTATCAACTTGCAGTTTTGGCTTTTGCAAGGTTGCTTCCTCAAATTATTAGAGTACAGTTCCAGAATAAAAATTATGATAATTTATCTTGATAATGCTGGTTTAAATCCAAGTTGGTTTAGCAGAAACTGTATGCCTCAATTAAGCTAAACCATTGGTTATGAGAATAAAACTCCCAAATCAAAATTTGGTATGAGGTATATTATTTAATATACAATAGCACTTGTACGCATCTAGCCAACAAGTTATGATAAATTCTCCCTATCTTAATTGGTTCAGGGTCAGAAACCAAATAATTTCCATCTAGAAATATGGATGTGCTATACGATTTAATTATCCCACCACAATGTATAAAGACGGATTCCCAAAGAAGGTCGGGAAATGTGTTGGTGATCCCAGCATTAGCGGGAGAAAATGGGCAGCTGAAAAAGTAAAATATAAAATGAATTATTATGAGTGCACCTAGATCCTCGTACAAGAAAATGTGAACTTGAAGTTCAAGTGATGATTCATTTGCAAAATATTGCTAGACGCATTTGCTGACCCAAAGCTAAATGTTATATTTCAGCTGCTAATGCTCCAAATAGAAAGTCCATGATGGACATAGTCTATGGAACACATGAAGCGTAATAGACTAATAGGTTCCAAAGATAAAAATGCTTGAAGAAGGAGAGGGGCAAATGATAAAGATGGTCATACTAAGGAGGCACGTTCTCTATAAGAGCACCACGACATAACACTTTATAAGACCTCATGAGAGAGGCTCAGGTACCTGAAACTATTGAGATCTCGATAAGTTATGTCTTTATTTGATTGGTGATGGAACCGATATAGAATGATCGTCGATGATATTGTTGATATAATGTAGGGTTCAATATTATTAATACTGACGAGGATCTTGAGCTCAAATCTGTCATGAAATTTGGACAGATAAATAATTGGCCAAATGAAAAGTACGCAATGAAATTGACTTCACCTGAAAAATGTGAAGTTGGACAGATAGTCCCAACACCTGAAGGTGAAATGAAAAATCAAGTCGATAAACATAAAGACGACTTGTACCATAAGATTTTTCGTAAATATATCTGGCTAGAACCATGAGTATAACAATATGCTAACGAGATACAGTTTTATTCCTATGTGGAGATATTAGAATACAATAGTGTTATATTTCAAAAGGAATACTTGATGTGGATTTGTTTATTCTAACAAATATTGCCAAGATTTTGTTGCTTATGCAAATGCAGGCATTCTCCTGAACTTCGTTCTTCAAACAATCTATTTTCATGTGAGAGTACTGCCATATTATCATTTTACAAGGCAATTAATTGTTGATACTTATTCAAGTCATGCCAAGATAAGCAACTGATAAAGCAAGGGACTCAACACACAACATACGTGTGACTTTTCTTTGAAGAGAAGATTCCAATAATACTGAAGATAATGTTGTTTGCTTATATCAATTGGAAGAAGGATATATTGAGGCAACAAAATAAAGCACATTTCACCAAAGTTCTTCTCAGACATGATCTTCGACAGATTGGTGATATAGACGTTCAACAAATTTATTTGATTGATAATTTGGTGGATCTGTTCAATGAATCATTACCAACCCCAGCATTTGAGAAGCTGGTATACGGGATTGGAATGCGTCATTTCCGAAAAGTAAAGTGATGTTTTCATCAGGGGGAGTAAGATACGCGTTGCACTCTTTTTTCCTTAGCTGATGTTTTATCCCACTGGGTTTTCCTAGCAAGGTTTTTAACGAGGCAACAAACAATGCGTATTACAAGATATGTGTACTCTTTTCCTTCACTAAGATTTTTTTTCCACGAGATTTTTTTAGTAAGGTTTTAACGAGGCACATTATTATGGACATCCAAGGTGGAGTGTTATAAAATATAATTATAGTGGATGTCCATAACCACCAAATGAGTAATACTCACTACTCTTCTCCATTATCTCCATAACTCCCACTACTCTAATACTTATGGAGTTATGGTTGTAACTCCCATACCTCCCCCATGATCTTCCACCATGATCTCAAATGCTTAATGACATATTTATGGAATTCTTTTGGTATACCTTTATGTAGTACTATAAATAGAGGATGAGAAGTCATTTTGTAACACACTTGAAATACTTGAAAGAAATAAGAAGCTCTCATCTCTTGTCCTCTACATTCTTGTCTATTTTCTTGTTTCATATTATTACTTCGAGCTAAGTTTCTTAACAAAAATGAGTTTATTTCATATTTAATTTAGATAAAATCGTGGTATAATTAATTTGGGGATTAGTTATTCTGGGGTTGTAGTATTTTTTTATCCTTATGGGAGAGTGAGATAACTAATCGTGAGATAATTAACATGGGATAACTTGTTTTCCTACCAAACGGCCCTTAAGTATTTGTAAAAGAGAATAAGAGAATATTACTTTCATTTTTAGATAGCTCAATTGGTTGGCTATTAAAATTTTTATTCTGATGAGTGATCGATTCTCCATGTAACTCCCTCCTTATTTTCCTTTCCCTCCCAATAATTTTTCAAAAAAATTATTAAATTTATTAACACAAACTTCTTTCATACGTATAGGGGTAAGTATTTGTAATATTTTTATTCTCAATGTAATTTAATTAGAGATGATGAGTTATTTATTTTTAGGTTATTTTATCAAGATTAGTATGATGAGTTAAACTATTAATGTAGTCAGTTTAACTTGATTACATAAATTTCTACATTGTCAGTGTATTCAACATACACTCCATTCATTTATATGACATATATATGATTGAATATGAAATTTTAAAAAAAAAAATATTCTATACATATAAGGTATCAAAATTAATCTTACTATTAATAAATAAATAAAAGGTGGTAAGAAATTCACATATTACTTCCTATTTTTCTCTCAAACAAGTCATATAAGAAAACAGAATTTTAAGATTAATAGGTGTGGAGGTCGAGCAGTAGGGTTGTAGGCTAACGGGTAGTCGAGCGGTTTCCTCTTTGTCCTGGTTTCCCTCTTTGTACCGACGAGTATGATAGTGTTTTGTCTAGCTCTGCTAGCGATTTATGTTGTGTTTCACACTTTTGCATAGTATTTGCGTTACTGCTTTTCCATTTATTTGCTGTCTCTCACGTTGCTGATAATATTTTTTGCGTTTTGTTGTTACAGATCTATTGTCTCTGAGGCGAGGGTCTCCCGGAAACAATCTCTCTACTCCCTCTGGGGTAGGGGTAAGGTCTGCGTACACTGTACCCTCCTCAGACCCCACTGGTGGAATTTTACTGGGTTGTTGTTGTTGTAGTTTTTACATCTAAAAATATCTTATTTTTTGTAGACTTGATAATGGAAAAAGTGACATGTAAATACGACATAGACACATATAAAAATAGAATTAAGTAAGTTAATAAGAATTTTTCTTAAAATAAGTAATTGGGTAAAAAGGTTTGCTACTTCTTTATAGGGAGGCTGAAGAGGACGTTTAAGAGTAAAAGTGCGTCTATGTTCTCTTCATGTAAGTTTTGTGGGTCCCTCTAACCC